TGTCATCATTTGTCATTTGTCATCATTGGGTGTGTTGCCTTGTCATACTTGGTTGCTTGTAATAGCCTAAACCCACCGTTAGCAAATATTGTACTTGTTGGGTTTTTCCTTCCCCTCAAGGTTTTTAAAATGTATCTACTAGGGAGAGGTTTTCACTCTTATAAAGAATGGTTCGTTCTCTTCCCCATCGTACTTGCTAGCACTCGTTCCCTTCTCCAATCAATGTGGGATCTCCAATCCATCCCCTTCGAGGCCCAGTGTCCTTTCTCGCATAAGGCCTCGTGTCCACCCCCTTTCGAAGTTCAGCCTCCTCGCTGGCACATCGTTCGGTTTCTAGTTCTGATGTCATTTGTAACAGTCCAAGGCTACCGCTAACAGATATTGTTATTTGGCCTTTCCTTTTCGAACTTCTTTTCAAAGATTTTAAAACGCGTCTACTAGGAAAAAGTTTTTACATTGCCAGTGAGTGACGTTCAGATGGAAATTAAAGTAACGGAGTTGTTGCATTCACGTCTAGATTTTTTCAGGTTAATGCTGAAACGCCTGAAACTCACACTTAAAGAGGGAGAATTACTTACTGTTCTAAACTTCAGTTCCTTGTTAAGATAGTTGAGTTGATGATATTAAAGTTGCAAACTTTTTAGTTGCCACCATCAATGCTTTCAACCTTTCAACCGACACCAAGGGGGCCAGAGGAGAGTCGAGGAAATGACTACCAATTATGTTACTAGGCCTTAGCCCCCACCTGTCTCTGTTCATCACCTCTGGCTTCCTATGCAATTATGCTTTCAAATTTAAGGGCAACACCCCAAATGGCCATAAATTCAAATAAAATTATGATGTTTTTTATTTTTCACATGTAAAAGTAATAATTCTCGTAGATCCAATTCCCTCCTAACAAACGAACATATAGAATGTTTTCACACCCTTATAAAGAATGTTTGATTCTCTTCCTCAACTGATGTGAGATCTCACAGTCCACCTCCTTTAGAACTCAGCGTCCTCACTAGTACTTGTTCCCCTCTCCAATCGATGTGCCCTTAGAGGCCCAACGTCCTCACTGTCACACTGTCTGATGTCTGGTTGTGATACCATTGGTAGATATTGACCTCTATGGATGCTTCCTCTCAAGATTTTTGGAGATATTGTCCTCTTTGAGTTTTTCCTTTTACGCTTTCCCTCAAAGGCTGTCCTCTCTGAGTTTTTTTCCTTTTAGGTTTTCCTTCAAACACGTCTGCTGATGAAAGATTTTCACACGAATGTTTCGTTCTACTCTCCAACCAGCGTGAGATTTCACAGAAAGTACAATGTCAAGATGAATATTTTCTGAGCATAGATACCAAAATGAACCAACTTAAAAGTGTATTTAAACTTTGAGATATTATTATTATTTGGAGGCGAAAGAATCAGATTCGCCCAAAAAAAAAAAGAAAAAAGAAAAAGTAAAAAATGCTTGGCCTGGACTCTTGGATTCCTGGATTCCTGGAATTCTAAATTTCAATTCAAAACAACATAGAACTTGGCATAATGCCACACTGGTCCAATAAAAAAGCTGTTTCTTTTGTCCCCTCCTCTTGATCGAACCCACAATCATTTCCACCCCTTGGATGCGGGACACGTGGCTATCAACGTCTCGAAGTTTGATTGGCCCAGCAAAGCACAGCCAATACCAGCCCCAATTATTCCTTTAGTATTTCTTTTATAAGAACCCATTTGCTGCCGCTGAATCCTCCTCCTCCTACTGATACCCAAAACAGAGAAACAGAGTAAAAATCCCATCAATCAATACAGAGACATATTGAAGAAGAAGAAGAAGAAGAAGAAGAAGAAGAAGAAGAAGAATGGGCGGATTTGAGAAGCAGGTGAAGGAGAGGGCGAAGGAATTGAAGAGCATCTTCAAGAAAGGGGTGAAGATTGTGGGCGAAACCTGCAAGAAAGGCTGGCACAAAGTCAAGCACTTCAAACGCTAACCATCATCAACAACAGCATCAACAACATCATACCTAAACTCCTTAGAGCTTGATTCTTTCTGGATTTGTGTTTGTCAGAAAGTTTGGTTTATCTTCTGGGTTTATTTAGATTCATTAGGGCTCTGTTTTTTGGTATCTTTCTGGGTTTCTTCATTTTGATCTGGGTTTCATTCATGTCCTCTCTCAATAATGTATCCCAATTCCTTCATGTTCATTAAATTTAACTTCTTTTTGTTCATAAGATTGCAAATTTGGGTTTTTTTTGTATGACTAAAATAAATAAATAAATAAACTAGTTTTTTTTTTTTTTTGAAAAAAAAATATAATTATGCAAAATATCTCAATTTCGTGACAAGCGTCAATTTCTTATGAGTTTTGGATAATGTACACAATTCTAAAATTTTCTACCAAATCCAATTCGATTGCATTAATTTTGGTTAAAAAAATATTTAAAACAAATTAAAATACACTTGGCAAAAAAAAATAAAAAAATTGAAATTGAAAAAGAAAAATGAGGACCCAATAATCCAGAATCGAAGTGCAGAAGGTGGAGTTTCTGCCAATTTTGTGTGGATTTACAATCTTTGAATCAAGAGGATGATGATGAAGCTTCGAAGCTGGAACAAGCCCATACCTAATCTCCTTCAGAGCCCTCAACGATCTATGCCATTACCTTGCCTCTTCTGTATCAAAAGCCCTTCCCCGCTCTTCTCTTCCACTCCGCCGCCCACATCGCCTGCTCTTCTTGACAAAATCTTAACCATACGAGACCCTAAAATCTCTGTTATTCCGGTACTCGAGAAGTGGGTCGGCGACGGAAGAGCGATTGGGAAACAGGAACTTCAGTCGCTTGTTCGCCTCATGAAGAGCTTCCGCCGCTTCAATCACGCTCTAGAGGTTCGCTTTCCCGCTTCAATCACTGTTTAGCTTATTGTTTTCTATTCCTGGATTGAGTTTCAATGTTCTCTGATTTTTCTCTCTGAGATCAGTTCGTAGCATTTGGTTGTCTCTTCTTGCCCTAATTTTGGAAATGGTGTTCGTTTAGTACATGTTCATAACTGAAAATTTCTTCGTTTTGCTTCCAAAACTTGAGATATTGTTAGAACGGAATGTTACGAATCACGACTCTCCACTATGGTATGATATATTTCCAACGATCCTCATCAGAAGAAAACATTAAGAGTTGCTGTGATAAGAACATTTTTTCAAGTGAGTGTTGAGTTTCATACTTTCTTGCTTTTGTCCAGATATCTAGATGGATGACGGATCGAAGATACTTTAATCTATCGTCGAGCGATGCTGCGATGAGGCTGGATTTAATCCGCATAGTTCATGGTCTGGAACACGCAGAACATTACTTCAATAGTATATCATCCCAGTTGAGAACTTCTAATGCTTATGGCGCTCTTCTCTGTAGTTATGTGCGAGAGAGATCAGTTGAGAAAGCTGAAGCCATTATGCAAGAAATGAGAAAATTGGGGTTTGCTACCACGTCGTTTCCGTATAACGTGCTAATTAACCTCTACGCTCAGGTCGGGCAGCATCATAAGATTGATCTATTGATTCAAGAAATGGAAATGAAGGGAATACCTCAGGATATCTACACTGTTAGAAATCTTAGTGCAGCTTATGTTGCTAATGCAGACATTTCTGGTATGGAAAAGATCCTCAAAAGGATTGAGGAGAATTCTGAATTCAGAGCTGATTGGAGAATTTATTCAATTGCTGCTAGTGGATATCTATCAGCTGGGTTGGAAACAGAGGCTCTCTCCATGCTGAAGAAAATGGAGGAGAAGATTCCACCGCGTAAAAACAAATCGGCGTTTGAGTTTCTGCTGTCGCTTTATGAACGAACAGGTCGTAAGGACGAACTTTACAGGGTTTGGAGTACGTTCAAGTCATCAATTAAACAAATAGATGTGCCATATGCCTTAATGATCACATCTCTAGTGAAACTTGATGATATTGAAGGGGCTGAAAGGATTTTCCAGGAGTGGGAATCAAAGTGCACATTCTATGATTTTCGAGTGTTGAATCGACTTCTGGTTGCTTATTGCAGAAAAGGTCTTTTTGATAAGGCAGAATCGCTCGTTAACCGAGCAGTGATGGGAAGAACTCCATATGCCAGCACGTGGAGCGTGTTAGCTATGGGATACGTCGAACACGGGCTCATGAGCAAAGCAGTTGAGATGTTGAAGAGAGCTATGTTAGTTGGAAGGCAGGATTGGAAACCAAACCAAGACATTTTGGAAGCCTGTCTGAATTACTTGGAAGAGCAAGGAGATGGAGAAACAATGGAGGAAATGATACGACTATGCAGAAGCTCGGGTACGGTGACGAAGGAGATGTACTACAGATCGCTGAGGACTTCCATTGCAGGTGGAAAACCAGTGCTCAGCATTCTAAACCAGATGGAGATGGATGGTTTTTCTGCTGATGAAGAAGTGCACAAAATCCTGGGAACTAAGACCTCTTGTAGTGATTGGTAACATTCTTTTAGGCTCATCGCGAGTCTCAGCACTATAAAATCGTTGACAGAGGCTATGGTTGAAATACAAGACCAGCTCTTCTTCCTGTGATAAGAAAAGGAATGCTATAAAGCTAATTCCACTTGTTTTGGGTCCTTAAAAGAATTTCAAATGTAAATTTGGATTGTCACTGCAAATCCTCTTCATTTTCTATCTTGTTAGTAGAATAGGCGAATCCAAGAACGGTCAAGAATGTAACAACTCAAGTCCACCACTAGCCGATATTATCTTATTTGGGCTTTCTCTGGCTATTAGGGAGAGGTTTTCACATTCTTATAAAGAATGTTTCATTCTCCTCTTCTCCACTTCCTTGGAGGCTTAGTACCCTTGTTGACATATCGCCTAGTGATTGACTCTTATACCATTTGTATCAACTCAACCCCACTACTAGCAGATATTATTTTCTTTGAATTTCCACTAAAGAGAAATCTTTCCACTTCTAGGTTTTCTCTCAAAGTTTTAAAACGTGTGTGCTAAAACTGATGTGAAATCTCACAGAGAGTAATAGAAGGCCATATAACGAGCCTTTAAACAAAATTATTATTTACATCAACTACATAAGAAGGGCAAGCCAAGGGGCAACATCGCCACCAACGCTCAGCCACGCCTACATAACACAATCTGCATATCATTTTTTACAATGGATTAGAGAGTAAAGGGAAAATCTATGGCTCAGAACAAAAGAAGACAGATAACTAAGAAACAGAAAAGAAAAATACAGATTCTGTTGAGTGATTCATCAGTCTGCAAAATATGCCTTCTAATCCTTGGGCTACTGCTCCACACAAGAGGGTATGCATTGGGATATGCATATAGATTCGTTATTGCACCGAACATTCTTGCATAAACCACTTCTCCAAACACTCCTGTCACTTGAGCATAGCAAATGTTTGATTGATTAGAAGAATTTCCTTGCCTAGATTGAGGAACTGGGTGAGAGGTTGGGTGAGAAGCTGGCTTTGGTAACTCGAAGCAAACAGGACCGTTAGGCCTCCGAGGGACGACGATTCCAAGCTGCGAATTCTTGCTTTCGAATGGGTCTTGAGTTCCACCTTTGCCATAGAGTGGCACTAGAGTAGCATCAGAAACTTCTGCCTTACAAACTGGACATTGCTGGAGTCGCCGGCCATGTTTTTCTTTAGAGCTGTCCTGAAAGTGAAGCCATTTGTAAAGGCAGGGCCAACAAAAGAGATGGCCACAAAGTGTAACAACAGGATCTTTCACAGTCTCTAAGCATATGTTACAGTCGAACAGCCCAGAGGCATCACCATGAGTGTCAGCCATGGCATCCACAACAGACGTCCAAGACTTGTTCTCTCCAAATGAGTTAATCTCCATCTCCAAATGCTCTGTTGTAACACAACCCTTCTTAGAAACCTAAACTACCAAATCATAAAAACTTAGATCAATATTGGATCGAAAGATCGAACAACCACAAGATCTTTGAAGAAACAGAGAAAATATATGTTTACATGCAGAGATGAACTTGTTTTGGTTCTCTCTGATTACAAAAATCAATACCTTGAATCCCAAGGAAAGATAAGAGCAAGGAGATAAGAGGTAGAGTTATGTGCTTTCAGAATATTATAAAGACAAACTCTTGGTTAATGCCGCAGGCCAATTAGATATTTAAATCTTATTTGCAAGTTGACCTTCTGGAAAGTTTTTTGGGGCTAGAAACTATCCATATCCAGATCCAAAATAAATAAATCTTGAGCTATACCGAAAATTAATTAAACAAACATGGTGGTGTCGGCTCAAGCTAATCTTGAGTACAGGCGCATGAATCAGCTGATAAAGACATAAGATTAGAACTGTTCATCATAAATTATAAAAAATTCTTTTGAATTTTGTTCAATCTTTAAAAAATACTACATTTTAACACTACTCAACAAGAAATCTCTTAGAACATTCAACAAAAATTTCGAATTAAAAAAGTAGGATACCTATCCAAAATTCTGTTCGAAGTCACTCTCATACGATTCTAAACTAAATTACCTCTTCTTAAACATGTTTATCCATATCTAAACCAGTTTTCTAAAATATTTCCAACAATTTAAAACGGATTTCAAAAGCCAATCACACAGAAATCAAGTGAATATGCAATTAGAACACGAAATGACTGATCCAATCTTCTTCCGATGAAATTTTGTTAGAAATTCGTTAAGATGAAAACTAATGCTTCAATTTGAAAGGAAAAAAAAACCCTATTCTGTCAAGAATCAGACATGAGCCCATAATTATTCCACAGAAGAAGAAAACACAAGTTCAACATTCAAAATCCTCAAGTTCAAAGCGTACCAAATTTCGAACAGGAATTAGTCGCTTCGATTCAGAGAGGCACGGGAGTCTAGAAGAAGGTTGCCAGTAACGGGGAGTACGCAAAATTTAGGGATATGAAACTTCGTACCGCAAAATCACGAGCTCCAATGGAAAATTATCAGAAACAATAAAAAAAAAGAACGAGAACGAAATGTGAGATCGAAGAAGAAGAAGAAGAAGAAACTGAAGAACATAAAAGATGAGAGGGTACGTAACGTTGACGCCGAGATTTAAAGGCGCCAACTCTTAACACCGTCATTCTTCTAATCTTCTTTTAATTTTCAACAAAATATAAACAAATAAATAAAATAAATTCAAAATAATAATAATAATAATAATAATAATAAATCTCACTGCTACGTGTCGTTACGATAGCAGCAGGAAGTTTCTATACTTTCCCCCCTAATTTTGTTGATATATTTTATGAAGGAAATTAAAATTAGATAAATATCATTATTTTAATTATTTTTTCATACAAAAAGATTAAAAAAAAAATAATAGATAGGTTTTGATTATTTTTCACACCCTTCCAAATAAATTTTAAAATATCTATTTAATTTCAAATAATTATTAATTGGCCATAATTAGAATCTGAATCTAAGAAAGCTAATTGAGAAATGGAAGAGAGTGGTAATTAATTTCACTAAAAAAATGTTGGCTTCTAGAAGATTTCTATTCTTTAAAAAAAAAAAACTAATTATTGAGATTGATTCCTTCTAGAAGATGAAGTAAAATATAAATATATATATAAAAGATCATCCGAACACAAAAAAATACGTGTCAATGGTGTGAGTTACGGGTCTATTTGATATTTAAATTTTTAATTTTCTTTATACTAAAATATATATTCTATTTTTTTAATTCAAAATTAAAATTTATATAAATAAATTCATTTTTTAAAATATGACAATCCATTAAAATAAAGGGTTTCTGGAAGATTTTGTATAGAAAATACCTAATATTCTAAGCTTATTATTAAATAACCCCAAAATTTCCCCTAAATGTATGAATTACTTTTTTAAGAAAATGGCCCAATAAATTCTTTTTATTTTCTGGATGGATATTCCGTTTTTAGCAAAATTAAATTGACAGCTGATTATTTTTATTGTGATTTAACCAAAATTATGACATCATTTTAAAATAATAAGTAGGTAGTTATGACCATTCTTGAATTTATTGGTTAAAAAAAATTAGTGATTTTAAAAATAAAATGGTTATTTATTAAATGAATTATATATATAGAAAAATGAGGAGTTGAAAGTTTGAATAAGGTGTTACTAATTTATGTACAACTTTCATAGTGACATTAGGAAATTAAGGAAGAATGTTGGATTATTAATATAATTAATTGAATTTACCCTAATTTATTGAGTTAGGTATTGGAACAATGTTGTATTTGAAGTTTAATTTTAGTCGTTTACTTTCAAAAAATACACAAACTAAAATGAGACATATAAAACAATAGACTAAAATTTAATTAAATTTCATGTATTTTACACAAATGTTAATTCAAATGGATTAAATTATGAATTTATTTAGTAAATTTTAAAGTTTGTGCTTGGTTTCTAAATTTTTATAGGTTTTTGTTTTAAAAAATAAATTATATATTTACTATACAAAATTTAAATTTTAAAATTTTTAAAATTTGTAAATTTATTGAAAATTTAAAAAGAAAGTTGAAAATGTAAGAAAAAATTCATAATATTTTAATCGTTTTTTTATTTTTTATTCTGTGGTCTTGACTTTTGTTTTATTTTCTATTCCTATAAAAATATACATTTAAGTTTCATTTTAATTTAAATTATTCAACAGATGGCATTTTAATTAATCATTTATAGTTTAAAAAATAGCTATAAAATTATTATTTTGTTATTAATAAATAGAGATTATTAAATTGACCAAATTAAATGATGGTATATACTAAAGTTTATGAAAAACATAAATTTTTTTTTGTAACGGACAAGTTGTTTTATTTTATATGTTAAGTCGGTTATAATTAGCTGTTTTATATGTTTTCATATCATGCTATTATTAAATAACAATAATAATTTGAAGGTCAAATAATATATCATCCCTCAAAAATTAATTTTTTTCCTTTAAATTTAAAATAAAAACATAAATTTTATTAAGAAAAAAAAAAGATTATTAAACTATATTTCGACAACATTTTAATTTTAATCATCAATTTGTCATTATCGTAGCAATCGAATGTTATCGCTAACTATCAAGTATGACCACCGCCGACTCAACTAAACCAATAAAGTAAAATGATGTATATACAACTATATTTATATATACAACATATCTTTTACGACCAAACGTATTTTGCTATTTAATATCTATTTTACACCAAGTCTTGTTATTATTTAACTAGTTTGTATATATTTTAAAGTCATGTCGTTAATTTTTTTTTATAAATAAATATATATATTTTCTAATATCTTGATAATTAGAATATTATTGTTTAGAAATATAGAGATGGAACGTTCATAAATATCACTCACAATTTTATATACAATGTCGTCATATGGGATTGAGAACGTAAACAATTTATATTACTTTTATCTTATATTACTCGATTAAAAAACGGTGTATTTATTTTTCTTTAAAAATTATTTTGAAAAATACACACCTTATTAGATTCCGAATTTGCAAATTGGGTGGGTGGATTATGAGCTACTCATAGTTAGTTAGTTGACCAACCAAAAATTTATGAACAGTTGACTTTAAGATCAGCTAATAACAATCCAATTGAGACAGAAGTCAACTTTCGTATTATTATTTTTTTAATTAAAAGAAATGGATAAGGTTGAATTACATAACCGTTATAAAGTGGTTGCCCTTAAATATCGTGTGAAATAAGAAGAAAACTAGGTGAAATTAGATTGGTTGGTGAGTTGACTTTTGGAGCTTAAAATGTTTTTTTTTGTTTTTTTATTAAAAAAAAATATAATAAAATAAAAACATAAATTAATCACTAATTTGTTGTTTGTTATGGAATTTAATTTTTATAAATTGTAAACGAATGAGAAGGGGGAGAAAGGATAAGATTTGGTGAAATGGAATCTTATTACCAAAATTTTGATATTCAAAGTTTGAATTATGAAAAATAAATAATTAAACAAACAATTTTCTCTCCAAAAACATAAATTATGTCAAAAAAAAAAAAAAAACGAAAAGAAATAGAAAAATTCAGCCCGAAAAAAGTAAAGCCCTTTAGCAGTGTTCAACCAGAAGAAAACCCATTTCCAGTTTTGGGCTTTTCTGCTAAATGAACTTTTTAAATTTTAAATCGATTAAATTAAATTTTTAAAAACTGAAATTTGGGTCCGCTCAGAATTTGATATATTTTTTTGTTGGACAACTCGTCCTATATTTTTTTAAGATTATTATAAATATTAAGAATATTTACGTTTGTCGTAATTTGTAAATATTTTAAATAATTTTAAAAACAATTCAATTTAACCCAATATTAAAATAGAAGGTCGAGTTGAATTGTATTGAACAGAAATGGTAAACTCTCAAATACCCACCAGCTTTGTAGATGAATTACACGACATGTCTAACAACTGCGTCCACACAATGTTCCCTCCTTGCCTCTTTGCTCATCAATGCAGAGGACAAGAAGGCCTATCTTGTGAGAAAGGTGATATCAAAGCCTCTTCTACTGCTTCGCCCCTTCAAACTCGACATCGACTCAGCTCTCTCGCTCTGCTCGGTCCGTTATTTTCGAACACGAACATAACCCGTCTAGATGATCTTTCTTATCTTTTTTATTTGTTGTTGATGAAGAACGACGCCCTCAAATTGCACGAATTGCAAATGGATAGAATTAAGATTTAGAATGGCGGCTGTTTCTTGGTTGTTTGTTAATGGCTGTCAGATGAGATGGATAATCTTCCATCTTTTTGTTTGCTAATGCAACATCAAATTCCAATAAACCATAAATTTAGTCCCCAATTTTTTAAAATTTAACGATTTAGTCCATGTATTTAAAAAATTCCTAATAAATTTATAAACTTCTCTAACGATATTTATCTGAAATATTTAAGTTTATAAATACGACTGCCACATATTAAATCGTTATCGAAAAAGACCTTAAATATTTAGTGTCAGGTTGATTTTAGACAAGTTGACGACACTGGATAATACTCATAATCATAATCATATCAAAATTAACCTGTATTTCAAATCATGCATTTAAATAGATTATATGCAAATCAAGTTTAAAAATGAAATACTTTAAAAGTATAAATAAAAATGTTGTGACCCAATTGTCATATTAGTTTGTCCATTTTTGCCGTGTCGAATTAAAAGATAAGTATGAACCAACATACCTAATGGTCGAGACGAAGACTTAACAATAATGGCAATTATCATAATTCTCTTGAACCTCAGCCACATTTTGGTGCAACCCCATTAACGAAAAAGACTCCTAACTTTTTGCCTCAAAGATGCTCCTCTCAAATTCAAATTTAAATCTTGCTCGTCATATTTGACTTACTCCCAACGTTACAATAATTGTTAATTCTAACATGTTTCGTTTTTCGATTTAACGATGAGAATGATCGAACTGATATCCACTTTAGAGGGAAAGTTGTGTTGTCAATTTGTCATTACCAAAACAGAGCACTAGAAGTAGTGATATCTAGATAAGGAGTGACTGTCATCTTTTTTTAATCATATCATTAAAGAAAAATGTACAAAATTACCATATAAAAAGTATATATTATGTCATTACATTAAATATATTATATGGTCGAGTTACGAGAAGGAACAAAACGAAACCCACCACTTGTAATACATGATTGGGGATCATTCCTCACTGTGATTGATCTTTTTTTTTTTTTTTTTTTTTTTTTTTTTTTTTTTTTTTTT